CTGCATTCATACTCTTGCTTTGTTCAAGCTATTACTGATACGACTCCCGAGCAGAACCACTCAAGTAGTCTGAAGACCTCTACACTTAGCCTACACAATGCCTTCACCCTTTCACTGTTATGGTACATCCACCCAAGCTTCTCTGCAACACACATTGTGCCTCTACTTCTATGCCCAGTCTGTGTTGCCCTATTGGCCTGTATCCAAGAACATCCTGTTCCCCCCATCGTTTCGGCCCCGGATGACAGGGACAACTTGTGTCTCTTCACTTGCACAATGATCTTTGGGTGGTATACTATTATGCAGACCTTTTTTTTCAAAGCAACATAGTATTTACCAAGGTATATATATTGCATCTTGCACTTTAGCTACAGAATCTTCTGGAGATTGTTGCACTTGTAGGGTGCTCAGGCTGTTTGAATATTCGGTGCACTCTTTTTATCTGATTTAAAATGTCACTGTTTATTTCTGCTTGTTTGCTTCTCACGCCTTTTTCTAGCAAGCGCAAACAGATGCATCTTGGTTTGGACAAATATCACATAACCCAATATTGTTAATATCATGGGAAGGGATGTTTAAGGGAGGAGGATGGTGTAAATTGTAGTCATGCCATGTTGAACCCAATATTTGTTAATATCATGGGAAGGGATGTTTAATGGAGGAGGATGGTGTACATGGTCATGCAATGTTGAACCCAATATTGTTAATATTTTTTGCGCGAACGTGCACTGTAGCACGTATTTCATTAAGAGGAAAAAGAGAATATCCAAACAAACAACGCCAACGTCGACCGAAGGTAACCAAAGGTTGCCCCGACGAGCTGCACAAACATAAAACAAAGCGGCAAACGAAAAAACAGAGGAAACCGACAGCGACCACACAAGAGACTAATTACATGAATGAACTGAGCGACGACAGGGTCGAATACCCGGCCCGCAACCACAAGGTGGCCTCCTGTAGGATCTTCAAACACAGCTCGCGAGCGTCCTTGGCTTCATTCCTGAAAGTCCGTGCGTTGCGTTCCTTCCAAAGCACCCATCAGGTTAGCATGACGAGCGAATCAAAGCCCTTCCTGCTGCCTCGGGGCACCCTATGCCTAGCCCAGGTCCACCAGAGGAAGGGGTCAACGTCACCGTGAGCGACCACGGTTGTGAGCCCACTTGGACAGGAGCATGTCCCAAACCTGACGGCTAAGGACACAACCCAGTAGGATATGATCCAGAGTCTCGGAGGCTTGAAAACACATGATGCAAGTGTCATTGTCCTACAGCCCATGTCGCATCCGCCGATTCGCGGTCCAGCAACGACGATGCAGAGCCAACCAGAAGAAGAACCTGACCTTGGGCGGTGAGCGCTCTCCCAAATCTACTTAGCACCGAATGGCAAGGTCGATCCGATGAACATCGCACCATACGCCGACGCCGCAGAGAACTTGTGGTCAGCGGACCAACGCCAGATGACGGAGTTCGGAACCCCCGGCATGAGCTGGACACCGCGAACCCGCTCCCAGAGGTCCAGGTACTGGAGGAAGACCTGAACAGTTTGTGCCCCAGTTATGTCGGACACCCAGGCGTGATCAGCCAGACCCGACGCCATAGACCGTATCCTCACCTTCGCCCGGGGGACTGAGGCGAACACCGCAGGCGCAATTTGGTCAACACAGCACCCATGAATCCAGAGTCTTGCCAGAACAGCGTTGAGCTCCCGTCTCCGACCACCGTCATGGTTGCTGCACGAAAGAGGGCACGCGTGGCCTTGTTTGACGACGACAGAAGGTCGATCCAAGTTTTGTTCGGGTCAACCTTCCGCACCCAATCCCAGTGCAGTCTGAGAGCTAGACCGAACCTTCGCATGTCGATGATGCTGAAACCACTGAGCTCCTTGGGCCTGCAAACCACCTCCCACGCCACGCGACACATGCCCGCGCTCACTGTGGCCGACCCAGTCTAGATGAACGATCGACGTAGCTTATCGATGCCGTCGACCACCCATGGCGACAGGCACACGACAATGGAGAGGTGCACCGGGATGGCCGAGAGCGTCGCCTGTGTCAACGCCGCCCTGCCTGCAGTGTTCATGAGATGACCTTTCCAGAGCAGAATACGCGTAGCGACGGCGTCAATGAGGAATTGCTCCTCGCTCCGCGCAGCTTGCGAGTAGAGAGAGGGATGCCCAAGTACTTGCACGGAAAGGCTCCGATTGTGCAGGACAGCATGTTCTCAACCAGCTGAAGCTCCTCCTATGAACAGGCAATTGGGTTGGCGACACGCTTGTCCAGGTTTGTGTACAAACCCGACGCATCGCCGAAGATCTGCAGGATGGTTTTGATGGCGACGTTGTCGTTCACCTCTGGCGTAATGAACATGACGATGTCGTTTGCGTATAGCGACACCCGTGAATGCACCGTGGTGCATCGGAGAGGTGAGAAGATCGACTGGGACTCAGCCCACCGGATGAGTCCGCCAAGCACCTCCATAGCTAGGACGAACAACATCGGGGACAAGGGGTCACCTTGCCGCAAGCCTCTGGCATGGTAGATGCGGTTGCCCGGTCTGCCGTTGAGGAGGACCTTGGTGCTAGCCGATCCAAGGAGGATAGACATCCAGTCCCTCCACCGCTGACTGAAGCCGAGCCGTTGTAGGACCTCCAAAAGGAAAGGCCAACAGATGGAGTCGAAGGCTTTCACAATATTGATCTTGAGGAGGCAACTACGCTTCTTCTGGTGCAAGGTCTTGCAGGTCAGGTGAACTGCGTGGAAATTATCATGTATGGACCATCCCTGGATGAACGCGCTCTGATAGGGATGCACCAGATCATTGAGCACCAGAGCAAGCCGATGGGCAAGACATTTGGCAATAAGTTTTCCAAAGCTATGCATTAGGCTGATCGGGCGGTAGTCTCTGATCTCCTAGGCTTCATTCTTCTTTTTGAGGAGAATCATGAAGGCATCGTTGATTAAATTGAAGTTGCGCCCGTCCAGCGACCAGAACGCGTTGAAAGCGTTGATGACGTCTTGTTTGATGATCGGCCAGGCTACTTTGTAGAATAGCCCGGTGAAGCCGTCCGGCCCCGGAGCTTTGTCCGACGACAACTCTGAGATGGTCGCCCAGATCTCGAACTCGGAGAAGCAGACATCCAACATGGATAAATCGTGCTGGGTGAGACCCAGGTTGTTGAAATTCACAGTGGCCGCTCGATGGAACGGAGTGCCGAGCAGGCCGTTGTAGTGGTCATACACTGCATCCGCCATCTGCTCATTGAGGACAAGGTCGTTCCCCTAGACCCTGAGCGGGGTGATGTGGTTCTTTCGACTGCGGCGGCAAGCCTGAAGATGGGAAAACCTCGTGTTGGCGTCCCCTTCGGCTAGGAACATCAATCTGGAGCGTTGCCTGGCGATTGTTCTTGTGAGGGACACGAGGCCAAGGCATTTGCATTTCATGTCCTTTCTCAGCGCAATCTCCTCAGTCGATAGGGGTCGCAGGTCTTGCGCACAGTCCAAACGCAAGATGACCTCACGTGCAATGGCTAGCTGCAGCCGGACGCTCCCGATTTTGCGCATACTCCAACTTTTCAGCGAGCGCGTGACGTTCCTGAGTTTGTAGTCCATGATACGGAACGCGTTTGCATGAAGCAAGGTCGGTTCCCATGCCGAGGCGACGACGTCGAGGAACCCAGGCAGATTTGTCCAGAAGGACTCGAACCGGAAGCGCTTGCGCGCCCAGGGAACGGCACTTGTAGTATTTAAATTTTGTCGCAACCAAACACATCCTAAGACTGTAACTAGTGATGCATGATTAGCACAGTGGCTGTTTTTCTAGTAAGGCCTTGTTTAGATTGCAAATTTTTGCAACCTAGATACTGTAGTACGTTTCGTTTGTATTTGACAAACTTTGTTCGATCATGGACTAACTAAGCTCAAAAGATACATCTCGTGATTTACAACCAAACTGTGTAATTAGTTATTTTTTTTACCTACATTTAATGCTCCATACATGCGTCCAAAAATTGATGTGATAGAGAGAGAGTGAAAAAACTTAAAATTTGGAGGTGATCTAAACAAGGCCTAAGAGAGCGATGCCGCTTGTGTATGTATATACACTAAAATGTTAATGTAGGGCCTTGTTTAGATTGTAAGTTTTTTCATTCTCTCTCCATCACATCAAATCTTTAGACACATGCATAGAGTATTAAATGTAGATAAAAAAATAACTAATTACATAGTTTGATTGTAAATTACGAGACAAATCTTTTGAGCCTAGTTAGACCATAATTGGACAATAATTATTAAATACAAACAAAAGTGCTACAATGCCAAATACTAGTTCCTAACGTCCATCTAAACAAGGCCCAGGTGAAACTGAGCCTGGACTTGTCCGGGGTCGTTGTCTCTGACTCTTGAGAGGGTTTCAGACACAGACGCAGCGACCCTGCAACGTACGGGTACGGCAGGACATGGGTTCATGAACCTGGGGCAGCCAGCTCGTCGCGTCAGCAACCAGCAAAGTAAATGCTCTATATTTGTTGACCTTCTGAACAAACAAGTTGCTGTTGTCGATGATGTGTTGCCTTTCTTATCCAATACAGCAACAATTTAATCAGTTTCAGTGGCGAAGACGGGTCAGTCGATTGAGATTTGCATGCTGGAAAGGCCGGGCCATATTCGCTGGGCATTTCGTTTCCGTCTCTCGGCTCATGGTTCACTGACCTGATCATGAGCTGACGTGAGGCGGGTTTTTATATCTCTAGCTACAGCATGCGAACCAAAGTCAACTACGATGCTGTCAAATGCCAAAATAGTACTCCGCGGTTTGGCCAATGGGACGCTAGTCAACGGCCCCGCAGTGGGGGCGCCGGATATCCGGTCGGTGATGCCGGCGGTGCCGTGCGGCCATACGCCGTCGGGATTCGGGACCAGTACAAAAGCCGGCGGTCGGGTGCGTGAGAACCGAGAACTGAAGAGCCCCAACCACGACATCAGCCAGCTCTGCCTCTGCCCGCCGATGGAGGGAGGCCAGCACCGAGTGCACCCGCAGCCGCCGCCGCAGCGGGTGGCGGCGGGCGAGCACACTAGGCTCGGCGTCTACCACGACGTGCTGCGCCGCCTCAGGGACGCCGGCGAGGCCGAGGCGTGCGCGCCGGGATTCGCCGACAGGCTCTGGGCGCACTTCCACCGCTTCAGCGTCAGGTACGCGCTGGAAGTGAACGCCGAGAGGGCGGAGGATGTTCTGGTGCACATGCAGCTGCTCGACAGGGCTAAGAGCTCGGAGACGGAGAACCGGCCTGCCTTCTCTGTCAGAGTTGTTCAGGTGCGATGTGGCCCAGCAAAATCGGCTCTTGTTTCTGAATCAGCTTCTCACTCTGTATCAGCAAGCAACTGTGATGTGTTTCTGAGCCACCTGATGTGTCTTGTGCAGGTGCCTCCAGAGATTGATGCCACCGAGAACGATTCTGCCGAGCCCAATCCGACTGAAGAGAGCGGCGACTCTGCAACCCCAAGAAAACTGGCGTATGCTGCTTCTCGCTTATTTACCTTTCAGCTGATCACCATGAGATACCGATCATCCTCGTTCTAGTTAACAAATTTCAGTGTTTGCCCCCTCAATGATCTTTATGTTGTTTGGTTCATCAGTGTGCACCCAGAACCCATTTTTGGCTCCTCACGGAATCTCAAGGCTCTTGTTCGTGAAGCCAGCAGCAGGAACCTCCTGGATGACGGCGATGGTGATGCTATTCTCAGGTTATTTCTCTGTCAGTGGAATACCAGCGCCTACATTCATGTTACCGGCTCAGGCCTTAAAAAAATAAATTACAGAATCCGTCGGTAATCCGCGAGACGAATTTATTAAGCCTAATTAATCCGTCATTAGCACATGTGGTACTGTAGTACTACATTGTCAAATCATGGACTAATTAGGCTTAAAAGATTGGCCTCGCAAATTAGTCGCAAACTGTGCAATTAGTTATTTTTTTAGTCTATATTTAATACTTCATGCATGTGTCCAAACATTCGATGGGATAGGGAGTAAACTTTAGGAGGAGGAACTAAACAAGGCCTCAATTACATAGTCTCGAAATTCTATGGTACTCGTTTGTAGTTTGTGCAAACTTGGGTTGTAAACAGATTATATACATATACCTCCTTTCAAATGTTGTTTAGCAGTCCATGTTACTCTTACTTGACGGTTTTTTTACGTACTAGTATAGAGAAATGCTCCCCCGTTTCAAATTATAAGACGTTTTAGCTTTTCTAGATACATTGCTTTTACTATGTATCTAGAGATAGTGTATAGGTAAATATATATCAAAAACTATGTATCTAGAAAAGACAAAATGCCTTGTAATTTGGAATAGAGGGAGTATCATGCTTATGCCATCTTCAGCTGTTTATACTCCTATGCATATGTTCACAATTGTTCCTACCACCCTGCCTGTTTGGTTTATCATGTAGTACTATGTATATGGTTGGTTGCACACAAAACTATGTATCTAGAAAAGCCAAAATTTTCTTTAACGAAACACAAACTACAAAATTTCCTAGATCTCTTAGATTCATATCTGCCAACTTTGACCACAAGGCTACCAATGGACTAGCATAATGTTGAAAGGGGATTTGTACCCAGCACTGTAAATTCTCTGTCTTTTGTATGCAACGTCCAGACATTCCAAAATACTATTCGCTAATCAGGTGTTTAGTGATAATCATGTCCTTGTTATTTTTTCAGTTGTGGTTGCTTGTTAACAGTTCCTTGTTCAAATCGTTATTTCAAAGGTCAAGCCAACTGCACCCAATGAGGAACTGGTGTATGCTTGTGCAGTAAAGCACTTAGATAAATATAACAAAATTCTAATTTTGTCTCCATTTGGCTACCTTTTCTTATCTTGCAGACCCATGCATGAGATCACCTTTGCGTCCAACGACAGGCCAAAGGGCCTTACTCAAAATACGTTTGTACCATAAGATAGATATTCTCTTAGCCTGCATTATTTGTATTTTCATTTGTCTATCGTATTACCTGAGGTTTGGAGGCTATATGATGCTAACAGTGTCATCACGTCTCAGTTGTCTACACTTTTAGGCCAGCTCAATCTTGACATCAAGGAAGTACTTGCACTTTCAACAAATGATGGCTACTTCTTAGATATTTTCATTGTAGTTGGGTGGGATCACAAGGTATCCTTATCCAAACCTCTCCACTTAGCAAACACTTGGTTTGAAACTCTCTGCAGTTGTGTTGCTCGTGTTCCCTTCACACGCAGGAACATCAAGTTTTTCATGATGAAACCATTCCAATATTTATCTCTGTTTTAACCTTTATTTATTGAATTGCTAGACATATTATACTCCCATGACATTTTCTTGATTCCAGTACACTTGTCGGTTAGGAGTGAAGTCTTACTTTTTATTATGCAGGAAACTGGACAGCTTGAAGAAGCATTAGACAAGGAAATCCTTAATTATAAGGCAGAGGTAAAGTAGCACTCATCCCATTCCTTCCCTTATTTGGTCATGGGCTATCTAATGCCCTTTTTTCCGGCCAATGAGAATAATCCATTAGAATTCTTCTGTTCATGGAGATGCATGAAAAGAAAAAACCCACAAACGAGAACAAAAAGACATATGAGTAAACTCAACTAAGAAATTTATAATAAAAAAATAGTTAAGTATTTGCCTCGCCAGGATTCCGTAAGCATCAGAACCACCACTTTTCGACCAAACTAGTCGCTTATTATGTGCATGCATGATATCTAATATTCTTGTCCAAAAGTAAAAAACCTACACCTTAAGTTTAACATCTCTAGCACAACTGCACTGCATGTCACTAGATCAAATCACAAACTCTTTGATCCACATCAAAGAATTGAGATTCAGAAGTATTAGAACATTTTGTTTCTGTATAGGATGAGATCCTAAGAAAAGGTTGCAACATTAGAATATCTTATGATTCATTTTGTCCTGGTTCTAAGTCTACAATATCTTATGATCCATATCCCCCCTAGTTTTAAGTCTGCAAAGTGGAAAAAAAATACATTCTACAGATGTCAGTGTTTATAATCAAGTTGTTTCTACTAAATATCCTGTTCGTTTGATAAGCTTTGGGAACCATAAGCTTTTGCAAGACTTAACATGTGTCTATTTGACTATTTCCTGGTGCTCAAGTTTTGCATTGTCAAAACTCTTCTTCAGATGCATTCAAAAGCTTCTTGCTGGCCTCCTGAATTGGCAGGCAAGAACTGTGTGAATGATTTGCAAGACAACCATGTTGAGATACCTAAAGATAACACTGACGAATGGGAGATTAATTTCAAAGCAGTGACATTTGAAGATAAAGTGGCATCTGGAACATATGGTGATCTGTGAGTATTATGCTGTTGACCACTTGACCTGCATTGTGATTCAGTCTATTAATCATTGCCTACAAAGGAAAAATAAATAAGTCACTCTTTAGTCCACCCTTGATGTTGCAGTTATCGTGGTACATACTTCGGCGAGGATGTTGCTATTAAGGTGCTCAAATCGGATCGCCTTAATGCGAACATGGAGAAGGAGTTTGCCCATGAAGTCTATATCATGAGGTTGTTAAGAAAGTCTGTATTTTAGAAAAATGAAAAGGGAGTGCATGCTAGTTTGCCCTTGTGGGGAGGCTGTTTCATATCTTAGAACCAGCTGCTTGGGCACCTATTTCTCTTCACTCTTTACTGAATGTGGAGCTCTTGGCATTGTCTATTCTTTTTAAAAAGAAAAGTTTTGATGGCCAAAATGAGCAATCAGTTTTTTTTTCTACGAGAATATACAAAACCAATGCAAAGTCTTTTCTCGTTGGTAAATAGTTTGCATTTTTAGCATGTTGTTGACAAAATTTTCATTTCTAGGAAGATCCGTCACAAGAACATTGTTCGATTTCTTGGGGCATGTACCAAGCCAAAAACCTTATGCATAGTCACAGGTAAAATTAGTATATATACTATTCTTCCTGCCTTGCAGATTTTCTTTATTTGATATATATTTGATATATGCTTATATTTTTTTCCCAATTATAATAAACTCACCAGAATTTATGAAAAATGGAAGTGTCTATGACTTCCTTCACAAGCGTAAAGGTTCTTTCAAACTTCCTGGACTACTTAAAGCTGCAGTTGATGTATCAAAAGGGATGGACTATTTACACAAAAACAGAATTATTCATCGGGACTTGAAGACTGCCAATCTTCTTATGGATGAACATGAGGCAAGTTTTCTTCTGTCGTTATATGGTCAAAGAACAGGTTTGTATATATTTGCAGTTTTCCTGGGTCCAGTCATTTATTTCTGGGGGCACTTACTATCATATACTCCCTCGCCATTCCAAATTGTAGGTCCTTCTGGCTTTTCTAGATACATAGCATTTGCTAGACATCTAGATATACACTATGTCTAGGTACATGGATATATAGTAAAATTATGTATCTAGAAACGCCAGAACGACTTACAATTTAAAATGAAGAGGAAGTAGTTTGAGTGATTCATATCCAACTGCTTCTTGTATTCCTCGTATCTTTTTGGCATTCTTTACCCCTTCTCTATTTAATTTCTTCGTTATGTACAATGACTTGTTATATTCTTTTCTTCCTGTATCTTCTACTATACTACATCCAAAGTTAACTTCAAACTGATTACTAGTGGCACCTTTCCAGCTCATCAAAGTTGCTGACTTTGGTGTTGCTCGTGTCAAAGCCGAGTCAGGTGTTATGACAGCAGAAACCGGCACATATCGTTGGATGGCTCCTGAGGTAATGTTTCCTAATCGATGACAGAGGAACGGCCAGCACTGCCTTTTTTTTCAGTGCTGCTTGCTGGTACTGTAATCCAAATACTTGGAAAATTTCCTATCTAGCTATGCAGCGTTTTTCCTGTGTAGGTTATAGAGCACAAACCATACGACTCCAAGGCTGATGTATTTAGCTTCGGGATTGTTTTGTGGGAGCTTCTAACTGGAAAGGTAACACTGGTCCATTAGCTAGAGAATATAATTGATCTCCTTTAATTTGTATAAGCCTAAGCTTGGCCATTGTACCAGACGCCAGCATATCCTTACCATCGAACATGTTATACTTGAATAGATTCCTTATGAATTTCTAACGCCGCTCCAAGCAGCCATTGGTGTTGTTCAAGAGGTAATGAACAAACTGAAATTCTTCATATGATTCGTCTTTCTATCATTTTACTGTGACACATGAATTACATACAGCCTAGGTCCATTAGACATATCTTTGCATATTTTTTACTTTCTTGTTTCCCTCATTAGGGTACCTGCCTATTTTCATAAGGTGTACCGGATTGTGTGTGGGGGTGGGGGTGTTAACTAGGGAGGGGGGGATGGGGATTAAGAGGCTGTAAAACCAATGGAATGGTTTTTTGGAGTAACCAAGGTATATGTGGCGGTGCTTGTGTGTTCTTTTGAAATAAGACTGGATGATCATCCATGAATGTTAATGATGCACTGAAGGTATTTGAGCATTTTCAAATCACTAGTAGAGCACACAAAATTATTTCCGCTTCTTAAATTGACCATCATACTTAAATAAGTGAACTGTGAACACTTCATCTTGTAGGGCTTAAGACCAGTTATCCCAAAGGGCACAAACCCTAAGCTCGCGCAGCTGCTTGAGAAGTGTTGGCAACAAAGTCCTCTCCACAGGCCAGACTTCACAGAAATTTTGACAACACTCAATGAAATCGCTGAAGAGGTAAACATCCCTGCCCTCATCTAGTATTTCTCAAAAATCCTATATGGTTAGATTGATTAGTGCATGAAACATCCATGCAGGTCGCCATGGATCATAATAAGCTCCACAAAGAGAAGGAAAGAGGAACCAACTTCTTTTCATTTGGGAAGAGCCACTGATGAATTGCTTGTCTGCTGCATTCGTACTTCATCATTGATTGTACAGATGTATATTTTCTAGATGGGTTTTCCTCTTTTTGTGAAGATTCAGGTTTTCGTATGTAGTGTGGTTGCGGTTTCCTAACTGCCCAAGGCATCTCAACTTACAGGACTGTACCGTTTCTTAAATGGAACCCTTAAGGCATGCAAAAAAATGCCACAAGATATAGCGATGAGATCGACCCCCTCCCCTCCCCCCGAGTGCTCCTAAGGGCGACTCGGGGGTCTCCTCGTCGGCACCCTAGGGCCACCCCCTCCTCGCCTCACCTCCGGCCGTCATCGCCGCCCTCCGGTGCGGCGGCGGCCAAAAAAAGGGTACCGCCTGCAGCACCCCCTCCCTCCCCCCTCGCTTCTACCACCCTCCCCTACCCTCTTCTTCTCCGGCGAGGTAGGGCAGCTGGCCAGCCAGATCCGGGCTCCCTGGGGCCAGATCTGGCATCTACACCACGCTCACGCCTTACTCCTCGGCCTCGGGTGCGTACGGCGGCGGCCAGGTCCGGGCAGCCGGCGCCGGCGACCGGCACCTAGCGGCGGTATACGGCGAGGATGGGTGGTCGGACAGCTGGATCCAGCCTCCCCAGTTCCAGATCTGGCGTCTCCAGCTTCAGTGTCGGCGGCGGCTGGTGGCTGGCGGCCGGTGCCCTTTTGGGGTGCCAGGGACTGGCCATGGCCATGGGGCGGCAGCTGCCTTCTTGGCCGTGCGCCTACCCGCCTCGGCCGGCTAGTGGTGGCCGGGGACGCGCGCCTGCCCGTAGTGGTCGGCTGCTGGTGGACGGGGCCGTGGCCTGCTCCGCCCGACCGACGACTGGCGGCTGGCGGCCGGTTCGGCCCTGCGACAGCCTCCTCTGGTGCCCTTTGCCGGCAGACTTGCTGGGTCACACGTCTACCAACACGGTGGATGGCGGCCGAAGTTTGGGTCCTGTGAGCGGGATAGGCCCCCTTGCGGTGGTGGTTGAACAGTCGCTAGGTGAAACTCTGCCTAACTTCTTGCGTTGGGCCGGCGGCGGAGGCAATCCCTGTGTCATCTACCTTCTTGGAGGTGTCATCGAAGTACTGTTCGCTGCGTGAGTCATTGGGGGCGGCTTTGGGACGAAAGTCCATCTCGTTGAAAGCTCTAGTTTGGTTTTGGTGAATTGATGAAACCCTAAGTGCTAACCTAATTTATCAAAGTGATTATGAGATAGGTAGCACCACTCCAAGTGGTGAAACAAATAAAGATCATGACATGATGATGGTGATGCCATGGTGATGATCAAGTGCTTGGATTTAGAAAAGAATAAAGAGAAAAACAAAACGCTCAAGGCAAAGGTGAAATTGATAGGAGCTTTTCGGTTTAAGTGATCGAAACACTTAGCGAGTGTGATCACATTTAGGATCGATAGCCGTACTATTAAGAGGGATGAAACTCGTATCGAAATACGGTTATCAAAGTACCACTAGAAGCTCTAACTCATTGCATATGCATTTAGGATCTAGTGAAGTGCTAACACCCTTGAAAATATTTGTGAAAATATAGTAACACATGTGCACAAGGTGATACACTTAGTGTTTGGCACATTTGATCAAGGGTGATGAAGTTCGGGGGTCAAAAGGAGAAGTTTCGTATTGACCGGGCTCTGCCTTGGGCAGTGACCGAACTCTGACCCCGTGTCCGGTCAGTGGTGCACAGTGAAGGCCGCCTTCGGTCCCTTGACCAAACGCTGAAGAGAAAGAGGGATCGAACGCGCAGGGGGTGCGTCCAGTCACCTAGTGACGTATGCTGACGCAAGCAACACAGAGAGGCTAAGTTGACCGGACGCAGGCCTGGGTCCGGTCATGAGCAACCGGACGCATCCGGTCGTGAATTTCTGCCTTTAGAACCTTACTGGAAGTGACCGGACTCAGGCGAAGCTGCGTCCAGTCATCCTCGCGGTGCGTGTCTGGTCGCAACTTAACCGTTGAGATTGGGCGCTCAGCATTTGAAGCCAGGGATGACATGGCAGCCATCCGTTGATCGGACGCTGGCAGGGTACGTCCGGTCAATCCAACCGACGTGTTCGGTCGCCCCGATTTTTCAGGGAACAGAGAGCCAACGGCTCTATTCATAGGGGCTCTCTATTTAAGCCCCATGGCCAGCTCAAGCTCACTCTCTTGGCCATTTGCATTGACATAGCAACCTTGTGAGCTTAGCCAAAGCCCTCCCACTCATCTCCATCATTGATTCATCATCTTTGTGAGATTGGGAGTGAATCCAAGTGCATTGCTTGAGTGTTTGCATCTAGAGGCACTTGGTGTTCTTGTTTCGCTGTGGGATTCGCTTGTTATTCTTGGTGGTTGCCACCACCTAGATGGTTTGGAGCAGCGAGGATCGTCGAGCGGAGGTTGGTGATTGTCTCCGGCTCCGATCATGGTAATTGTGAGGGGTTCTTGACCTTTCCCCGGTGGAGAGCCAAAAGGTACTCTAGTGGATTGCTCGTAGCTTGTGTGATCCTCATCTTGTGTTGGTTGTGTGGCACCCTATTGAGGGTTTGGCGTGTGATGCCAATTAGCGCATGAACCTCCAAGTGAGTGAATCGTCACAACGAGGACTAGCTTGCCGGTAAGCAAGTGAACCTCGGTAAAAAATTACGAGGTGATTGGTCTTCATTAGTATTCATTCTTGTGATTGGTTGGTTCATTTCTCGACTCGGCGGTATAACCATCTTGCTCTCTCTCTCTTTACATTACCGTAAACTAGTTGTCAAGCTCTTTAGTGTAGCTAGTCGTGAGAGCTTATTAGTTTGGTTAGTGTGGCTCTTTAGTTAGCCTTTGAGAGCACACTAACTTAGTGTAGTGACATAGTTATTGTGTGGATAAAAACTATAGAAATTAGAATTGTGGTAGGTGGCTTGCATTTTTAGTAGGCTAGCGCAACACTCGCTTCGCCTCATATTTGTCTAACCGGTTTGCTAAGTGTTGTTGTAGAAATTTTTAATAGGCTATTTACCCCCCTATATCTATTAGGACCTTTCACTCGTGCATTCCTTCCAGCGTCGTTGGCGTCTGCGGATGTCATCCCCTCCTTGGAGGATTCGTTGGGGCACTTCTGTTGTCTTCAGCTTACTCAACGCTTTGGTCTGTCCAGCATGGTGTGGTGTTGCCGCAGTCGTTTGGTTCTTCACAGCGGATGCTTGGCCGCTTGCGCTTGTGCGGATGCTTTGTGTCGACGTCGCTTCGGGCTCCCCCTAATGTAGTTGCTGCTGAGTGCGTGATGGACACCCTTGCTTGCGGATTCTTTGCCGCGTTCTTTGGCGGATGCTTTGCCACCGGGCGGATACTTTGCTGCCGCAGTCGTCTCTTATCGGTGGATGCTTCGCCACCACGGCTCCGTCTACTATGTTGGCAGCCTTGTGTTGATGTTTTTTTCTTTGCAGGTGTAGTCGATTAGGTTTGTGGTGGGGGTCTCCCCTTTCGCCTTTCTTTCTGTACCGTTGTCGTTTTGGTTCCTAACCACTCTCTCTATGGTTCTGTAACCAGCACTATGTGATCTCCCAAGATCTCATAGTTGTGTCGTGTATGCCGTTCTTTCGGCCCTCTTCTTCTTAATGAAATACGTGTGAAGTCGTGTTCTAAAAAAATGCAATTTACTGTCACCGAACTTGTCAAGGGCTCCACTTAGGTCTATAAACTTTGAAAAGTTATTTTAGGTCCCTAAACTCCTAAACTTTACCTAGAAATGTATTTTTTAACATTTGTAGACCTAAGTGATACATCTTGATAAATTCAGAAACCGCTATGCACTTTACTCAATATAAGAAATCGGCCTTTCCCAAACCACCCCTTCGACATTCGAGCTCTAGTCACCAAATCTAAATGCCATGGGGCCAGATTCAGCAATGATGGCCATTGGGACAATAAACATCTCAACAGACTTTCTTTGTTATTTTTAACTATATTCCACCTTCTCTTTCCTAATCGTCCACGTCTACTTAATATCTAGGCCCACCACTGCATATGCTGATGTATCCAACTTGCTGCTTGCATGAGCCAAGCTTTCCCCTCTCTTTCATTCTCTCCTCCACATTATCAAAAATGCTAACTAGCTTGGCTATAAAACTATTGTTATACTTGCTCTAACAAGCTAATTAGCTTTGGCAAACATATGCATGCATGGTCGCCTATTGGCTATTGAGATGTGTACAGCTTTGCCTGGGACTGGTGATGGACAACTGAAAAGTGACTTGTTTTCTAACATACCAAAACCCAACTTCGCCGTCTTGTAACTTGTTTTCTAATATATAACGATTTTGTAGTTCTATTAGTATAATGATTTTAAAATTTCTAAGTCGTGCAACCCAATTCCCAAATTTGAAATGATTCAATTGTCCAAGCGTCATATATTTATAATCAAAGTGAGTATTACATTAATTTAAAAGCCAAGAAGGCTACAATCTATGATCCAAGAGCAGACCCGGAGCCAGAGTAGACAGATTTGGGGGGCAAACATTACTGGGTAATAGGAAGTCCATTCTCCGTCCATGAAGAGAATCCACCGGCGACGTCGGTCACAGTCGTGAAACCCTGAAAATGGTTGCATTGCATATGAGAGAAAACAACCGTGAATCACAGGGAAGCCAAGAACTGATTGGCGACATGATATGATACCGAGGATCATAAGATGATAATGCTTACAGCGGAGCTGAGCTCAGATGCTGCCATGAGAGATCTCCTGCCACTCTGACAGCCCTGAAAACACACATGACAGTTTCTCTTCTTTCAGAATCAGAAACAGATTTAAGATGAGAAAAGAAAGTAGATCAACTATTTTGTAGTTAATCATTGGTTCATCATGTGTTCAGTGAGCGTACAACGATGATCCCATCATTCTTCCCAAATATACTGGCCACTTGCTCGAGGAAGCACGTGTTCTTCGTCGTTCCTATACATGGTTGATAGCAAGTAGAGAAACTGCTCAGATGTGAACCAAAACAAAACATGCATGA